ACCTGATGCCTGAACTTATGCTCGACGCGCACGTTCAACACTTGACTGCATCACACACACACACACACACACACACACACACACACACACACACACACACACACACGCACGCACGCAACACCACACAACACCACACCGCACAACACCACACAACACCACACCGCACAACACCACACAACACAACACAATACGTGTGTCTGTGCGCCACTGATACCTTTCCCCGCCACCATTCAAACCGCCTCCAACGCTCCAACCCAATGGCAGGTGTGCTCGAATACAACGTGACGACGGTTGGCGGTGGTGTTGCGACGCTCATGTGGCCGCAGAGGCGATCCAGCGTTTGTCTCTTCGGCTCGCGCCAGGTGGGAGCATGCCGTGCGTACATGTGTGAATGTGTATGTGTTTGTTGGTTACAGGGTGTATTTGTGTTTGTCTTTGCATTGTTGTCTTGTGTGTGCTGAAGGCAGGTTTCACCATTTTCCTGTGGATGGAGAGGGGTGCATGCTTTTTCATCGCAAGTTGCTTGCATGCATACGTGTTTATGTACATGTGCGTGCGTGCGTGCAGAAATTTGTGTTCTTTGGCGGCAACACGGAAGGCTTTGATCTGGCAGAGGCGTGGGAGTACGACGTGGCTGTGAGGCGGTGTGTGATTGGTGATGACGCTGTGTGATTGGTGGTGGCGGTGTGTGATTGGTGATGACGCTGTGTGATTGGTGGTTGTGTTAGACGTTGTGCTTGTGTGTCATTAGCACACATATGAGTATGTTCTTTGTGGCTGCTTTCCGTGCGTTGTGTTGATCGTCACTGGTGTGCCTTTACTCGCACAATCACAGTTAACGCGCCAATTCAACCGCGGCAACACTCACACACACACACACATCATCATCATCATCATCAACGCCACCATCACCGTGGTGGCCCCTCTCTTCATGCGTGCAATTGGGTGGCAGGTGGATGCTGCTTGACACGGAACCTGGTTCCGGTCTCCTGCAGCGCCAACTTGCCCGATCAGGCCACTCCTGTCTTCTCATTGACGATCCAAACGAAGGCAGCCGAGCGCTCGTGTTTGGAGGTGCGTGTACTGGTGTATGTTGTGTGTGTGTGTGAGTGTGTGCTCTTTTTGTATGTGTGTGTGAATGTGTGCTCTGTGTGTTTGTGTGTGTGAGTGTGTGTGTGCTCTGTGTGAGTGTGTGTGTGCTCTGTGTGAGTGTGTGTGCTCTGTGTGTGCTCTATGTGTGTGCTCTTTGTGTTTGTGTGTGTGAGTGTGTGCTGTGTGTGTACGCATGTGCCATGCCGGAACGTGATGGTGTGGGAATGTGATTGCGAGATGCTTTGATCCATTTAGTCCCACGTACGCACCCATTCACACAACACTTGCAATATCACACCACCATGGCGATGGTTCAGGCGAGGGTGCGAGCCGCTTGAACAACGATGTTGTCGTGTTTCGCCCGACGTGCAATTACGGCACAGGGGCCTCTGGGGCATTTTTCATCAACTCGTGAGCCGATGTTATGTTCTTGCGATGTTGCATTCCTTTGGTCGTGGGGCCTGCTTGGTTGTTTCGTTTTGTTCTGTTCTTTTTTTTTTTTTGTTTGTTTTGTTGTTGTGTTGGCCTCATCGGCATATGCTTCCCTTCGTTTCTTCCCTCGCCCCTTCTCTCATTTCGCATCCTGCAACCACCACCACCACCACCACCACCACCACCACCACTGCAATTGCGATTGTACTCAGGTGTCGGCAGTGTGCACAGGGCACGTTCTCTACCGCCATCACATCAGACAACCCAGATGACGACTCACAGGCGTGCGAATCGGTATGTGAACCGAGCAACGTCGCGTCTGCCACTACCAAGCACATGAGTTGTGTTTTGCACGGGGTATTGATTGCACACGCCTTCGCCAGAGCACAACAGCACCGTTGGTTTCGTTCTCATGCCATCACCTCCTTGTCCTTGTTGTTGTTAATGTCGTGTCACGCGGTGTTCTCCACCACATCAGTGCCCCTTCCTCACAACAACACCCGGCGATGGCGCCAAAACGGTGGAAGAATGTTCCATTTGCGCCCCAAACGCATGCGAAGGAAAACGATCAACCGTACGTGTGACCACGCGTGCGTGTGCGCGTGTGTGCTTGTTCGTGTGTGCGTGTGTGCGTGTGTGCGTGTTTGCGTGTGTTCTTTAGTGCGTGTGTATGTGTGCGTGTGTGTACTTTTGTGTATACTTTTATGTGTACTTTTGTGTGTGTGTGTGTGTGCGCGCATGCGAACGTCAGAGCACAGACGAGCGAGATGCACGCCTCAACCTTCCTCACTTTTCCCACGTCCCACACACTACCACCACTGCCACTAATCCTGTTGCCACCACCACTGCCAGTGCGTTGTTCAAGCAGCAAATGGTCGTCCCACGTACACGTGTCAATGTGCATTTGGGCGGAGCGGCACACGATGCGAAGGTGGGCAGCAGCGCATGCGATAAGTTTGCCCCACATGCGTGTGTGTAACCTGCGAGCGACGAAGTTGTTCCTTTGCTTCTCATCGCACACACATGCACACACGCACACAATGTGTCATGACACCACATCGCACAGTGCAATGGGGTCTCGGCGTGCTGCTCGGTGTTCTTCTGGCGCTCTTGCTTGCCGTTGTCATCTTCTTTGTCGTCCGCTGGTACCGCTCTGAGGTGAGAAGCACCGCGATGACGAGATTGTTGGCGGGATCATGTGGCACCGTGTGCTGAATGTGACGTGTGGCACAAGTGTTGAGTGGATTGATGCGTATGTGTCACCCTGATTCCGGACTGGCAAGGTTGTGCTCCGCGTCTTCCTCAACAATTGCAAATGCCATCGCCACCCTTACTCCCTGTCAACCAACAAACTCCGTCACTTTCGCCACCCTCATCACTTCTGGCCCCCCTCCCCCCTGAACCACTGCCAGGTGAACGAGATCAAGCACATCTCGGAGCACCAGGCGAAGGAGTTGGAGTTGACGGGGCACGAACTGCATGAGCTTCGACGTGTGTTTGAGATCCCATACACGCAGGTCGACAAGCGCAATCGAATCGACAAGGTGCGGAGCGGTGGTCTTTGTATTCATGGGTTTGTGTTTCGTGTGGTTGCATTGCAATTGCAGATGTTTGTCCTGCACACACACACACACACACACACACACACACACACACACACACACACACACACACACACACACACACACACACAATGTGTGCCCTTCGCTCCACTTTTTTGAACAGGAGTGCGAGGGCAATTTTGGTGCGGTGTACTTTGGTTACTACTCTGGCCGTCCTGTCGCCATCAAGATGCTTAAGGAAACCCTCACGTCGTGCCGTGATCCACTGGGTACGTGGCATGCGTGTGTAATGGGGGGGGAGGGAGGGTGATTTATCAGAACCCATCCAAGTCGCTCACACAACACACGCACGCACACGCACACACACGCACACACACGCACACACACACACACACACGCACACACACGCACACACACACACACACACACACGCACACACACACACACACACACACACGCACACACACACACATGCTCTCACATGCTCTCACATGCTCTCACATGCTCTCACATATCAATGCAGCACGTGAGGACTTCCAGCGGGAGGTGAAGGTGATGCGAGAGCTGCGTGACGCGAACATCGTCTTCTTTTACGGCGCCGGGTACGAACGGAATGGCGTTGCCTGCAAGCAAACTCGATCCTTTCGAAAACAAGCAGACGCGGCAGGCACCCCCACAACAGTGCTGTTGACAACACTTGCACCCCCCCCCCCCACACACACAAATTCACGCATGCACACATGTTGCCGCGTGCAGGTATGAGCCAGACGGAACGCCGTTCCTGGTCACAGAATACATGGCACGCGGCTCTCTCCAGGTGGGACACAAGTGTTGTGTGCACGTGTGCGTGCGTGTGTGTGTGTGTGCGTGTGTGTGTGTGTGTGTGTGCATGCGTGCATGCGTGTGTGCGTTTGCGTTTCGTTCATCTCATCTTGAGCTCACACTGCATTCGCACAACGCTCACTACGCTCACCACGCGCAACACCAACCACCATCACCGCCATCACCGCCATCACCACCACCACGTCGACAGCAAATCATTCTGAACCCCACTGAGCGGCTTGATTGGCGTTTGCGCTATCGGTTTGCCCTTGACGCGGCACAAGGCATGCTCTTCCTCCACTCCAAGACACCCCCACTGCTTCACAGGTGCTTGCATGCAAATGTGTATGTGTGTGTGTGTGTGCGTATTGAGGGTGCAACAAGGAAGGTGACTGATGGCGAGGTGCGTGGCTGATGCAAGCGAACAAAACAGTCCTCCTCAACAAGCATCGTTGCTCATGAGTCAGCCACTCCATTCACACCTGTTTTGTTGCCACTGTCGCAGAGACTTGAAATCCGCCAACTTGCTCGTGGCAGAAGACTGGACAGTGAAGGTGTGTGTGCGTGTATGTGGGTGTGCGTGTGCGTGTGCGTGTGCGTGTGCGTGTGCGTGTGTGTATGTGTGTGTGTGTGGTGATGGTGTTTGCGTAAATGTGCACAGTGTGCGTGCGAGGGTTGCTTGCAGGCACATGGTTCGATTTCGTGTCCGTAGCATTCATCTATTCATCTTGAACGTGTGCAGGTTGCTGACTTCGGTACCGCGCGTCTCTCCGAGCACTTGACGGGTGTTTCAGCAGAGGAGCAGGTGTGGGTGCTTGTATGTACGCGTGTATGAACGCGCGTAGTGATGCTGTGATGGGAGCTGTACATGTGCGTGTGTCGCGCCCGTCTGTCCTCTTCCTCCCTGATACGTGAATAACCTCTCCCTCCTCTTTCACACACACACACATATATACACGCACACACGCACGCACACACAGGACTACCAGCAGTCGCTGCTGCATTCGCAGAGCGAAGGGGCGGTGGGCACCATCTGCTGGTGTGCGCCAGAGGTGTTGAGTGACGAGCACTACAGCTTGCCGAGCGACGTGTACTCCTTTGGCATCGTCATGTTCGAGGTGCGCGTGGGTACGTGTGCTTGCGTGTGCTTGCGTGTGTGTGTGCTTGCGTGTGTGTGTGCTTGCGTGTGTGTGTGTGTGTGTGTGTGTGTGTGTGTGTGTGTGTGTGTGTGTGTGTGTGTGTGTGTGTGTGTCGTACGTACGTACG